ACTTACTTCCTCCACCTACCGCATTCCAAAGTAGTGTCACCATTTGGAGACACAGTGTTCATATCATGAGCGTGTGATACTTGCAGATTGTTTTTTTTTTTTTGGTCTTTTTGAGACAGGGTCTCCCCGTAGCCCCAGCTGTCCTGGAACCTGGAACTCCCTATTTAGACCCAGCTGCCCTTTCCTCAGGTGTGTTTTCCCGACTGACAAGACAATTCACGTGAACTTTTAAGGAAGAGGCCAAGAGTAGGCCCTTGTTCTTTTCCATAGAACCTTCTCCTAGGAAATAGTCTTATAATTTTCCTGACAGTCCAGAACATCATGTCTTCACCCAGAACAAGAGATATGACAAAAATCCTATCATTTTAGCCCAAAATCATGTAATAGACTATGTTAAAAATGTGACAGAAATCTGTAAAACTGTCAGACTTCACCAGGAAGCCACGTGGGTCTCAACAGAGCCTGCTGCCCCCACCTTCCTCCCTTTTCTCTGATCAGTAATTTTAATTCTTATGGATGGACGGTTATGAAGATTTCTCCCCTCCTTAAAATTAGTGTATTGACTGGGAAGCAGAAGATAAGGTCCAGAGCTGATAATGAGGATGGAGTTCATCCTCAATGAACTTCAAACTTGCTTCCTTCTAAGTAGATGTTAGGTTTTGGAGGGTGTCTTGCTGTGATAGAATACCCTAACAAAAACAATTTAAGGGCTTATTTTGGCTCATTGTTTGAGGGTACTGTCCACTATAGAGGGGAAATCAAGGCATCAGGAGCTTGAAGCAGCTGGTCAAAAAGGGTGCTGAATGCTCCTGCTCAGCTAGCTCTATGTACAGAACCCAAGCCCAAGGAACAGTGCTACCACTGTTGGGATGGCTCTTCCCACCTCAATTAACCTAATCTCTCACAGGAATGGCAGAGGATAACCTAGAGAATCCCCCACAGGTGCCTAGATGTTTGTGTCTTAGCTGATTCCAGAGCCCATCAACTTGGCAATACTAATCACCATGGATATTAGCTCCTTATTAGATGTGTGAGATTTTTTTTTTATTTTGGAAAATCCTAATGAGTTCCCCTCCTTGGGCTTGCTAACAGAGAATAGGATGGGGGTTTATTTACAGAAGAGTGGGTGCCCCTTCCCATTTACAGCTGTGTTGGAAAGTCCACACTCAAATATAGATCCTGTGACTTCCCAACAGCTGCACAAAACAGTGAGAGAGGTGCCTCATGATGTTCTCAGCTTGTATATCCTCAGCCCCTCCCCACATGCAGCTAAGTTCCACTGATTGGGTGGGAGGGGTAACTGATTCCCCCATTGACTCCTTGACAAGTGTGGGAAGTGTGACTGTAGCTTGCTGGCATAGTGGCCTGAGGACATTTCCAGTTAACACTCCACCTCTTCTTCAGGCTCTTTCCACCAATTTCCACCAATTCTTTCCACCAATTTCTTCCACAAAAATCTCTGAGCCTTGAAGCTGGTGGTAGGTGTGGGATGGTCTTCCGCCCATTGTGGCAAGACACTGAACTTTCGGGTCTCTGCATCATTTGTTTTCCATGGGCTGTTGGCCCTTTTCAGTGGGATTCCATCTATTATAAAAACACAAACAGCAAGAAGCAGGAACATGTAAACAGTGGCTGCTATAGTAACCTATGAGCATAAACACAAATGCTTGGACAGTATTTTAGCAGGTGCATCACTAGATGTGTGATTTTCTTATTTCCCCCCTCTGAGGTTGTCTCTTCATTCTGTTCCACTGATGATGTAGACTGTCTAGTTTGGTGCATTCCATCTCTATATTTTGTTTTATTGCTTGTGCTTTTAGAGTCATGGTGAAAAAAGTCATTGACTAGACCAATATTAAAGAACTGCCTCCATCTTCTTTGCTTTGTCTTTACATTTGTTTTTAATATGCTTTTGTACATGGTATAAGACCCCAATTGTATTTTTATACATGTGGATATAGTTTGTCAAATTGTTTTAGTTTGGTTTCTGTTGCTGTGATAAAACTCTGACCCAAACTAACTTGGTAAGGAAACGGTTTATCTGTCTTACACTTCCATGTCACAGTCCATCACTGAAGGAAGGGAAGTCAAGGCAGAAAGTGAGGCAGAGACCATGAAGGAGGTGCTGTTTGCTGGCTTTCTCAACTACAGCCCAGGCCCTCCTGCCCAGAGATAGCACTGCCCGAAGAGCTGGACCCTACTGCATCAATCAGCAATTAAGATTCCTTCTTCCCAGGTGACTCCAGTTTGTGTGAAGTTGACAGAAAACTAACCAGCTCAAAAATCCGCAAAGGATTTCTTTCACTTGAAAAGGCTGTCATTTCCTCATTTGTGTTCCTGGCATCTTTACTGATAATGCCTATAAAGTTTGAGTTTCTGAACCCTATTCTGTTCACTTGTTCAACGTGTTTGTTTTTATTCTAATAGTAGTCTTGGTAACTACAGTTTTGTAGTACGTTTTCATGTCAAGTAGTGTGATGCATTCAATTTATTCTTTTTTTGTTCATTTGCTTTGATTATTAGGGGGTCTTTTCTGGTTCCATTCAAGTATTTATTTACTTATTAAATATTTTTTCTTTATTATTTTGTGAATGAGTGTTATACCTGCATGGAGGTAAGTGCACCCCTGTTGTGCAGTGCCTGAGGAGGATGGAAGGTGTCAAATCCCCTGGAACTGGAGTTAGAGACAGTTGTTAGCCACCATGTGGGTGCTAGTATTCAAACCTGGGTCCTCTGCAAGAGCAGTCAGTGCTCTTAGCTGCTGAGCTATATCTCCAGGCCCTGGTTCCATTCAAATTCTAAGACTGCCTTTTCTATTGATAAAAATAAGGTCCTTGGAGTAGTAACAGGGATTGCAATGAACTGGCCAATTGCTTTTGGTAGTGTGGACCCTTTAACAATGTTCTTCCAATTCAACAACACAGCTTGTCTTTTCATTTGTGATTTCTTTCATTTCTTTCATGAATGTTTGTAATAGTTTTCAATATACAGATCTTTCACCTCCACGGCTAAATGTGCACATTAGGTATCATTCATTTGGGTTGCTGTTGCTCAATGCTCTCATTTTAACCTTAGAACACACCTTTAAGGTTGGGAGTTCAACTTCCATTATTCAGACAATTCCATGTGAGGACTTGTTTCTCAGTATTTTCAGTCCCGGGGTTACAGGAGTTAGGATTTACCTGCTGGGAAGGCACATACAGCATCTCTTAGGTTGTATGTGAAGTACATGAGCTGAGAATTCAAATTCCTGAGCTCATTTTTCTTTCATTCATTTCTCTGGTGATTCTAGGAACAACCATGTGTCCTCAAACTCTGATACACACTCAGCATACCACCTGCCTCTTCTACATAGATGACCAATCAGATACTTTGTGTACCAAAGTAATTTTAAAGACTAATCAGATCACAGACCAAATTCCAGAAACCCCCAATCAATTCAAGAAACTCATTCTAAAAATTATTCTACTCATAGTACCCAAACCTGTGTCATTCAGGGCTCTCTGGACAGAACCAATAGGCCAGACAGAAGGAGGAGGGGATTACAGGAATTGGCTCATGCTACTATGGAGGCTTCCAATGATATACATTCTGCAAACAGAAGCCAGTGGCATAGCTTAGACCAAGTTCCAAGGCCTGAGAATCAGGAGAGCGGATGGTACAACTGTGAAGGCCAGGAGAAACTATGGGGAAGGGTGAGTGCAGTGCTGCTGGCACAAATTCTAGAGTCTAGAGGCCCAATAACCTGGGGTCTTCATGTTCAAGAGCAGAAGAAAGCTGTTCCAGCTCCAAAAGAGAGGTGAATTTACCTCTCTGCCTTCTTGCTCTATCTGGGCTTCAACATTTGAAAGGTGCCCTGCTAACATGGGGAAGGGTGGACTTTTCCTCACTTAGGCCACTGATTTAAATGCCTACTCTTCGGGAAACCACTTCAGACAAAGAGTGTATTTGGATATGGCTCAACCCACTCAACACCTAAAATTAACCTGTAGAGTGGAAGAGGATTAATAATTTCTGGAGCCTTTCATGAAGATGAAAGCTTTCCCCTTTAAAAATAGCTTCATGTGGGAATTGGACTGGAAGATATCTTAACATAATTAAAGCCGTATTCAACAAACCCACAGCCAACATCATTCTAAATGGAGAAAAACTGGAAGCATTTCCATTAAAATCAGGAACCAGGCAAGGCTGTCCACTATCTCCACTCCTTTTTACCACAGTGCTTGAAACTCTTGCAAGAGCAGTAAGACCAGAGAAGGAAATTAAAAGAGCAATAATTGGAAAAGATCAAATTATCCCTTTTTGCAGATGATATAATACTATACCTAAGAGACACCAAACATTCCATCAGAAAACTCCTAGAAATTATTAACACGTTCAGTAAAGTTGCAAGTTACAACATTAATCTACAAAGTCTGTAGCCTTTCTATATACCAATAACAAGCAATCAGAGAAAGAGTACATGGAAACACTCACTTTCAGAATAGCTGCAAAAATAATAATAAATAAA